GAGATGTACAAAGAACGACAGACACCCACAGGCTGTGCGTCGGGCCCAGCTGCGTGTTCCCTGTCCCGACCTTACTTACTCTGCCTCTGAGGTCCTAGTTCCTGGGGCGCCAGGCAGAGGAGGGCTGTCTCAACCAGGCCCCAACGGCCTTTCCCACCTACTTCAAAGTCACTTACGAGGCAGAGTACATCCCAGGATGCTGTGAGGTTTCGGGACAATTCCCAGGTGCCTGTGAGCCACAGGCGTCCATAGGAAAAGCGGCAACTGAGAGCAGCAACAGGCGCACCCCCTTCCTGACTCTGGGGCTGAACCTATGGCTCAGGATGCTTTAGGTGGTTGCCATAAAACCAGAAGAAAACGGAGAAGGTCCAATTTAAAAGCCAGAATGTATTTTGGTGAGAACGTGGGTATGCATGTGCCTTCCGGACACTGTGCTCCTTGAGGGAGACTTGCGTAGCTCGTTACAACACAGACAGGAACGGAGGCATCTGCTCGCTCCGGAGAAAACTAGCGGCATCGTGTTGCTCCCTAGGGCGTCCCTGCGTCCTTGTCGGGGAGCCGGCCCCACAGGGGGCCAAGGGTCCCCGGCCACCACAGCTATAGCTCATCCATCATGGCAAGCAAGTCCTCCCCCTTGCTGGCGCTCTGCCTCGGCTGGTCCGCGACCTCCAGCTCCCCCAGGATGCGAGCCAGCTCTTCGTTCCTTTGCTGGTCCTGTTGGAGAAATGCGAGGGGAAGGCAGTGAAGGGGCTGTGTCAGCACGACCGCCTCTCTGTGCCCTCGGTGTTTAACTTTCATCCCGCCACCGTGTCGCAGGTCAGTTCGTTCCCTGACTGTCAGACTAGGGACTCTAGACACATGCTGATTAGAGAGAAGGGAGGGCCAGTGGAGTTCAAGGTCATTAGGAGGTGAAGAGGGGACTAACGGTTGGCTTGTGCAATCGCCCGCACATACCTGAGTAGCTTGTATGTTGATCACTTCGTAGGCTAACTCTTCTGGCCTGGTTAGCGCTGCCTGTCTGCATGAGAGAGTAGAGAAAGGGGCCAAAGGTTAGGGCTTTCTCCCTGCCAGCATGGCACACTGGCACTTGATAACTTGGAAGCTGAGTTTTTCTGCCTCACCTTCTGCCCTTTCCCTTCAGCTTTCTGCCCTCCCTATCCCCAAGCAGTGCACCCTACACTCCAGAAAGTCAAGTCCTTGTATATGTCCATGCCTCTGCATGTGCTGAACTTGGCCAGAATGGTTTTCCCCTTCCTCTGCTTGGCAAACTCCAAGGCCAAGCCCAGATGCCAACTCCCGTCATCTGCTGGTGCAAAGTCAATCACTACGCCCTCCATTTATGACTCGGCACTGAACTAACTTGTGTCTGTGTGCATTCTCCCCCACCCTACGTGCTCCTGGGGCCAGGCTCTCGGTCTTACCCTCCATCTCTGTGTCCCCAGCACTCACCAGAGTGACTCTCACGCAGAAGTGCCCAGAAGAAGTTAGTTCAGTGACAATAGGGGGCAACTCCCACCCCAAATATTTGGTTGCAGGGAGGATCACATGAAATAACGATGCACACGAGCTCTACAAACTGTAAAGCTTTGTATAAATCTGGGTCGGTCCCTCTCCCTGCTGGTTTTGAAGGAGACTGCTGGATCCCAAAAGCATTATGGTCTGGCTTCCCTCTGGTTTCTTAACAGATTTTTCTTACTATGATTATCTTGACTTCCAATACTTCTTGTCCAGCTACGCTTTGCTACGTAAGACATTAGAACTATTTCTTGAATGAATCCAGAAGATTGAGGCTATTTAATACTGGTGGATTCTTCTTCTTTTTTTGAAAGTTTTTTTTTTTTTTTTTTTTTTTTAACCTATTTTGAGAGAAAGAGAGAGAGAGCAGAGGAGAGGCAGAGAGAGAGGGAGAGACAGAATACTCTCTCCGTGCCGTCACCGGAGAGCTCGATGTAGGCTCGATCTCCTCAGCCATGAGACCATGACCTGAGTGGAGATCTCAGTCTCATGAACTGCGAGATTGTGACCTGAGCCTACTAGATCAAGAGTCAGATGCTTCACTGACTGAACCGTCCAGGTGCCCCTGGTGGATTCTTCTTTAACTAGGTTATTGAATTTGCTGGGTGTTCCTCTATGACCTTTACATCTATATTTTAAGTGTCACTGGTTTATAATGGTCATTTTTGGGTTCTTATCACACTTAGGATTTTTATATATGTCTTGTAAGAAACAGGTTTAAAACGTACTCCTCCTCTTCATCAGTGGTGAAGAGATTCAACCGGAATCCTGGCTCGGGGCCACTGGGTTTCTTAATCTCCATCCCTCCCATCAGCCTGGCCAAGAAATTCAGCTCTTCTTTAGCAAGAGGGTTTGGAGCAATGCTTTCCTGCAGAAACAATTTCATGATTTTTAGCCACATGAAGGTGATCGCATTTCCTGCTGAGACCCCAGAGACCCAGGGCGGTGTTATGGAACGAGGCAAAACAATAACTCTTTAAATGATCGGGGGAAGAAATGTGTCCAAATAAAGCATAGAAGACAGGCTTAACCAAAACAGAAATAGTCCACATCAGAAGCAGAAGGACCCTTAGCAAGGCAGCAAACCAGGGATTCTCACACTTTCAAGATGAGTGGAGGGCCCCCAGGGATCCCCCTTCTCCTCAGACGACCTTCCTCCTTGCTGAGGAAGAACACTGCCTCCTCTTCCGTCAATCTAGTTCCCTTGCATTTACAAGGAACCTCAGCGAAAGCTCCAAGTCCAAGGGCACTCCTTCCATACGAGCTACCACACTGCCCTCAGGTGGTGATGGTGGTGAACACACCCGGGATCCGTTCCCTCCCCTAGCTGTCTGGCCGCACTCAACCCTCACCCCTCCTTCCAACCGTGTTCCTCTAGCCCAGCTCTGCCTCTTCTAGCCCCTGCTCTGCCTCTTCTGCTACTCTGTCTTTCTATTGTCGCTCCGCCGCCAGCCTGTCATCTCAAGTAGACCCCCCTTCGCTTGAGATAAACCCCCTCTGCCTCTCGCCTAAACGACAAAGTCCAAATTGCTTAAGCCTCTTTGGAATCAGGCCCCAGTGTCCTGGTACAGGCGACTCTCTGGCCACCTGCCTCAATTACGTTATGATCTAGCCACGTGGGAGAGATGCCGCCTTCCTGCTTCCCCCAAACACCGCTATGCTCTCCTGTCCCTTGGTGCCTTTGCTGATACTGACACCTTGGTCTGTATACCCATTTCTCCTTCTAAGCCAGCTTTGTGTCCCTGGGTTCCCAGCCCATAGAAGTCATCTGATAAACGTTTGCCACATGACTATTTCAAGATTTGTCCTATAGCTCGCAAGCAGCTAATTCTGTGGAAATTTATAAAGATGGCACTCAGGGAATCTAAAACCCCATTTTGATGAGCTACCACATCCTTATGTAGGGCAGCCCTGCAAAGGGCCGGTTTAACAACCAGAATACACGTGTGCTAGACTCAGCAACCACAGACCGAGTGGCACTGGTACAATGCTGTTTCACGTGTCCTGGTGTGTGGCTCCAGCTTAATTATGGTGGCTGAGCCAAGCCTGAAATTACCTAATTAGTCAGATCACTGGAAGTCTTCATGAGAAACTACAATTAAAAACCTTTGTACTTGTAAGGCTGAATTGAGAAGACTGTAAACAACGAGGGAAACACTGGCTGGCTTTGAAGTCTAGACTTTCCACCCTTCTCCCCATCCCGAGTTTTGTGTCTAGAAATGAGCTCTGAAGATGAATAAGGGGGGGGGGGGTTGTGAGGAAGCTTACCTGTGTCCGAGAAGTTGAGTTTTTTGATGCCTTGGACATATGGGTTTCCACAGGCCGGTTCATACTGTACCTGGTATCAACAGAAGACTGTGAAAACACTGCCCCGCCCTTTAACACTGACTTGCTTCTAACTCAGCAAGATAGTGCGTTAACTTTTATCCTGAGACATTAAAATGCATCCAGAAATGTGCCAGGAGTACAGAATGTACCTAAGTGGGGAGCAACCACTCTGATTTCATGGCTTCCCAAAGAAAAACACCTTTGAAGTCAGGTGGAAATGGCTCTTCTCGCAAAATAATGTAGATTACGGGGAAAAAACGTGAACAGTGCGTGAAAGGCCATGCTGTTCTGGATCTCCACGGCCACAGAGGTTTTGGCTGTGCTCTTCCGTTGCTATTTAAAATGATTTCTTTTTGAACCTGTTGAGTTTCCTTACGTTTGGGCATCTTGGGGGCCCTTGGAAAATGTCAGGGCTCTGCATTCATTGTATCTGGGGGGAAATTATCTCACTTGTCAGCAGGGGTTTTCATAGGGGAAGTCAAGCTGGTCTTTTAAATGAAGTGACCTCCCTCAGACTTGAATTCACTCAGGGAGGGAGGATTTGCTTACATGTTGGTTCCCAGTTTCAGGACTCGGTCTCCATACAGTTCAAAAGAACCTTCCTTTGGTGCTGTGACGTACTTCCCACCATGCTTGAATTGTACCCTCTTCACTTCTTTGCCTTTGTTGTTGAACATCCTACAATACAAAGCATGACATGAGGGGATGCCCTCCAAGCTCGGGCAGTCCTGGAGGCTCCTTTATTCTCTGTACCGAGGGACACAAAGGAACTCATGCACTCCTTTGAGATAAAGATGCTGGTTGAGGTAACAATAATAATATTTACCAAGGACATGTTATGTGCCAGGTGCTGTGTAAGCACTTCAGAGCATTATTATCTCATTCACCCTCACAGCAGCCATTTCATAGATGAGGAAGTGAGTCCTGAAAAACTGGGTGGTTGGCCTCAAATGTCTGCTAAGTGGCATAGCTGGGATGAGAACCTGACCTTCTAACTGCTGTGCTTTACTGCAGGAAGGGAGGCACCGGCACACTCTGTGTGGTGGCCCACATGTCGGTTTCCTGGCACCCCAAACACTGGTCTGACGATTACTGTTGAGAATTCACCTGATGAGTCCGGGAACCTCAGTTCCCCACGGAACAGGCCCGGACACCGGCAACACGAAGCGACCATTGGAATTCTGAACTTTGTCCTTCAGAAATATGGATACCTGGGAAAAAATACACTGCTTGTCATTTTTCTTGGTATGTGTTCCTAGACATAAGCATTCTGAGGATGGAAAGTGTGTAATAGGTGGGGGGTGTTGGCTAGTGAGCTGCTAACCACAAGAAAGTCTCCGCATAACTAGCCGTACAGAGTTACAGTGTTGCTGCACACAGACCTCCTTCTGGGCCGCACAGCAAGTCTCCCAGGTGGGCCGTATTACCCCCGTTTTAAAGATGAGGAAGCTGAGGTTCCCAGAGTGAGGGACTTGCCCAAGGAGAACAGTAAGGAGGAGGAATTGGCAGCTCAGAGGCTGAGACACTTCCTCCAGGCCAGCCAGCTCAGAAGGGGCAGAGTTGAGGATTCAACCTTGTGTTTCTCAGTCTGGAGCCCAAGCTTTTGGCCATGTGCTAGACCGGTGGGAAGGGCCCGGAGCAGGCGGATCAGGTGGGCCTTAGAGTCTGAAGGTCTCTTATGCAACTGCAAATACCGTGTTAGGCTGATTTCTACTTCCTGGTTTGCATTTTTTTTTCTTTTTTTTAAGTAATCTCTACGTTCAACATGGGGCTCAAGCTCACAACCCTGAGATCAAGAGTCATATGCTCTACCGACTGAACCAGCCAGACGCCCCCTGGTTTGCATACTTTGTGTCAGATTAAGTTCCATAAAGATTGTAGTAGTTCATCAGTTTTATTGGATCTTGTCTTCTTCATCTGTAAAGCGAGACAAATTTGAGGATCCCTTCAAACTCTAAACCTCTACAAGATTATATTCGTATTATCATCAAAAATACACATCTGTTGTGTGCAAAGCAGTGAAAATGCAAATCGGTAAGAATGTGTAAGATGGTGGCTTGGCATGCCAATGTTAGACTGTCTAGGCTCGTGCCCCACCTGGGCCATTCTTTGGCTCTGAGTTTTGGGCAAGTTTTACAACTTTCTGTGTATCAGTTTTCTGTGTGGCAAACTGGGGATAATGATAGCATCTATTCATCAGTAAGTGTTACTTGTTAAATCAGATAATGAAAAAGCACTTACCGCTGAGTCTGACACATAGTGGGTACTTGATACATGGTAGCTAATACTTCTAGGATTAAAGTCCATCTGGACACAGGCCCCAGACATAAAATGGCAACAGGGGCCAGTATACATGCTGGATGGTATATGCATAGTAGCCCACTGTGGAGAATGACCAGAGGCATGGGGGTGGGCAGGCCTAAGCATGGGTTTGGAGCTGGGCCTAGAAGAAGGTGGGTGTGAAGCAGAGATGGAGGGGCACCTGCATGGCTCAGTCAGTTAGGCATCTGACTTTTGATTTTGGCTCAGGTGACAATCTCATGGTTTGTGGGGATCCAGCCCCACATCTGTCAGTGCAGAGCCTGTTGGGATTCTCTCTCTCTCCCTCTCTCTCGGCACCCCCTTTCCCACCTACCCCCACTCCGCTTGCATGAGCTCTTTTCAAACTAAATAAATAAATAAACATTTTTTTAAAAAGCAGCAGAGGTGGGAGGGTATGTGGCATGTTTTAGGGGGAGTGTGTAAACTGGTTTTGTTGGAGGGTTTGGCTGGAAGACCTTTAAGGACTTTTTAACCTTAAGATTCTGTGACTGGGGCACCTGGGTGGCTCAGTCGGTTAAGCATCCGACTTCGGCCCAGGTCATGATCTTGCGGTTCATGAGTTCGAGCCCCACATCGGCTCTCTGCTGACAGTTCTGAGCCTGGAGCCTGCTTCAGATTCTGGAACCAAGAGATGCAAATACAAGTGTGGAGAAAGAAAATTTGGAGAGAGAAGTGGGAATATATGCTTGTGCTAGACCCTTTGTGAGCCCAATTCTAACAAGGTTGACTATGTCATAGCAGGTCTGGAATGTATACACTTCAGTCCAGCGTGTGGTTGTGTCTGATCCGACAGCCTGCCCTTGGCTGGACGGGACCGTTGGGTCTGTCTGCCTGCCCAGCGCCTCTGCTGGCCCTCGGCTGTTAAGTGTGGCTCCCCCGTCCTTCTCTTATTTCACCTCCCCCCACCCCGCCCAAGTGATCTCATCTCCCCCCAGTGTCCACCCCTGTGCTGATGGTGCCCAGATCTCAAGCTGCCACTTAGACTCCTTCCCCGGGCACTTGTTGCATCTGTCCCCTGCTTATCAGACGTGTCTGCCTACAGGTTCCATGGGATGTGCTGGAAACACACCCTGCCCAGAACAGGGTCATCGTTTGTCTTCCCAAACCTGATTCTCCTCTGGCGTTTCCAGTTGTGGTGAATCTGTGGCCGGGCCGCTGCAGGTGCCTCCTACCCGGCCTCCTTGCCTCTCCCTCACCTGGCTGTGATCCATCCTCCATTCTGCTGGGAAGGCTCTTCTTCTTCTTCTTTTTTTAAGTTTATTTATTAATTTTTGAGAGACAGAGAGAGAGAGAGAGAGAGAGAGACAGAGAGAGAGAGAGAGAGACAGAGAGAGAGAGAGAGAGGCAGAGAATCCCAAGCAGGCTCCACACTCTCAGTGCAGAGCCCAATGTGGGGCTTGAACTCACGAACCGTGAGATCATGACCTGAGCTGAAATCAAGAGTCAGATGCTTAACCAGCTGAGCCACCCAGGCGTCCCTGAAGAGACTCTTCTAAACTTATAGAAGGCTGTGTTCTTTTCCTCTTTTAGTGGCTCTCTGCTGCCTGCCAGATAATGTCCAGTTGGCCCCTGTTCTTCTCGGTAGCCATGTTCCTCCTTGTTTTTTTAAATATTTATTTTTGAGAGAGAGAGAGAGAGAGAGAGAGAGAGAGAGCGAGCGCATGAGCAGGGGAGGGGCAGAGAGAGAAACACACACAGAATCTGAAGCAGGCTCCAGGCTCAGAGCTGTCAGCACAGAGCCTGACATGGGGCTCGAACTCACAAACTGCAAGATCGTGACCTGAGCTGAAGTCAGATGCTCACCCAACTGAGCCACCCAGGTGCCCCGCCATGTTCCTCCTTGAATCTTATGTTCTTGCCACACCTAAACACTTGCAGCCTTCTACCGCCTCTGCAGCACCAAATACACCAAATGGTTATGTGCCTCATGCCTTTACTGAGGTGGTGTCCTCCACTTAACCCCTCCCCTATTTTCCCATGGGCCTGGTGAGAACCCACTTTCTAAAAAAGATATCAGATCCTCTATGAAGATTTTTCTTTCTATCTTTCTACATAAGTAATCTCTACATCCGACGTGGGGCTTGAACTCACAACCCCGAGATCAAGAGTCACGTGCTCCGGCGACTGAGCCAGCCAGGTGCCCCAACTTTTCTGATTCTCTGAGGCAGGCAGAACTGACCACCCCCTCCTCGGTGTCCTCTCTCCATATGCTCTTCTACTTTAAAACCAAATATCTGGAAGGCACCCAGTGCATTGCCCCCTCTCGAATGAGTTCCTGAGGACAGGCAGCAGGTTTCATGGGGAAAGGGGATATGAGGCTCACAGGGCTGTGGGGCTGGAGTGCTGGACGGGGCGTGCCCCTGAGCACTCGCGTTCCCCAGGACGGTGGCCCGACTCTGCTGGCCGGGAGGAGACCCACCCAGGGATGTGAGTGCCCCGGGGACATGGGTGAGCGACTCGGCAGTGTTTCAGTGAGTGACAAGTGCAGGGCCTTGCACGGTGTTGGCCTTACTGGTCTGGCCTCACTAGGGGAAGGCCAAGTTTGTGAGGATAGGAGAATAATGATCTGAAGGCAAGGGGGAAGGTGGCAGAATGCTGACCATGCTTTTTACACCCTACCTGTGGCTGAGGGAGGTTGACCAGCCTCTACCAAGAGGCCTGAAGACTTCGAATGCCATCTCTGTGACTTAGACATTCAACTGCTTATTTGACTTTGCTACTCAGGTGCCTAATAGGCAAATCAAACTTAGATAAAATTAATTAATTTTTCTAACCAGATATACTTCCTTCAGTCTTTCCCCCTCTCAGTGAATGGCAACAGCAGCTGCCCAGGCCAAAAATGTAGTCATTCTTTATTCTTCTTTCTCTCCCTCCCCACATCCAATTTCTCAGTAAGTTTTACTTACTCCTGCCCAGAAGGGACAGAAGACTTCTCACTATCTCCACTGGTGGCATCTACCATGAACTGTCATTTCCTTCCTCCCTCCCTCCCTTCCCTCCTTCCTTCCTTCCAAGATTTTATTTTTAAGTAATCTCTACACCCAATGTGGGGCTCGAACTTAAAACCGTGAGATAGAGTCACATATTCCACTGACTGAGCCAGCCAAGTGCCCCTAAATATTTATTTATTTTTGAGAGAGAGAGAGAGAGAGAGAGAGAGCGAGAGTGAGCATGAGAGGCAGAGAGAGAGGGAGACAGAAGATCCAAAGCGGGATCTGAGCTGTCAGCAGAGAGCCTGATGTGGGGCTCGAACCCATGAACCATGAGATCATGACCTGAGCCGAAGGACTTAACTGGATGAGCCACCCAGGTGCCCCCCTACCTAGATTTCTACAATAGTGTCCTACCTCCTACCTTGTCCCATACAGTTCACCTTCCAGAACACAAATCAGGTCACGTTATTGTTCACCTTAGGATGCCTGAAATGTTTTCCTTACTCTTAAAATAGACTCCTCAGTAGGGCATAAAGCTAAGTCAACTGGTAGGTACCAGTTTAGTTATAACTGGAGTCTGTTCTGAGGACTCAGTGCCCATGCCACACAGCTTGTTAACTGTATCACTCCTGCCTACATAGGCTTCACTCACACTGGCTTTCTCTCTGTCCAAGAACTACATCATGCTTTTTCCATCTCAGGACCTTTGAACTTACTGTCCCTCCAGTTTAGATGCACGTCTCTGAGATCTCAACACGTCTGTCCTCAGAAAGGCTGCCCATGACTTGACTCTAACTCTATCATCTAAGGATGCGCTGTTCAGTACAGTAGCTACTAGTCAAGTGTGGCTATTAAAATTAAATTAAAAATTCAGTCTCTTGGGGCGCCTGGGTGGCTTAGTCGGTTAAGCGTCCGACTTTCGCTTAGGTCATGATCTCGCGGTTCGTGGGTTCGAGCCCCGCGTCGGGCTCTGTGCTGACTGCCAGCTCA